GGGACAAAAGCGGGACACCATTGATACAACTCATATCCTGGCGAACTAGCCACATGGCGGCAGAAAACCGTATAGCCTAGCTTGTCATGCATTCTTTCCAAAAATCGGGACTTTTTAAAAATGCCACACGATGCGGGAAAACTTGTTAAAAATCGGGACGTCTGGTCACCTTACCCCGAGTCCCTCCTAGGAGACAGGGGCCCAGGGAAGCCCAGAAGCTCAGGCAGATGGGAATCCAGGCAGCATGCAGGGCAAGAGGCCAAATCTGTCCATAAGGCATCCTAGGGAAAGCCCTGTGGCTCAGATGTAGAAGACTTTCGCTGTGGGTCTCAATCACCAAGACACTGTCTGGATTGGAAATCCCTTGTCCTCCCCGGCCCCCGGCCCATCTGCCCTCTCAGACCCTGAATGAGCTCCCAGATGCTTAGTGTGGATGAAATGTCACATGGCCGGGCGAGCACCCCAGGAAGCGAGACAGCGAGTGTTTGGCTTTGGTCCCAAATGCCAGAGGGACCTCGGCCGGCCGGCAGAGGGATGGGTAGGTGGCCGTGGGAGACCACTGCGAATGCGGAATGCGGACTTCTGCAGCAGAAGGCAAACGCAGGCAGCTGGGGCAGAGGACAGGTGGAGGAGGACAAGGGTGCACTAAGGGAGCCCAGACCTCGCCTGCACCCACCCTCCTGGCTGCCTTCCCCACATTGCATAGCTGCGTGAGTCTAAAGAGGAATTTAAGGACTAGTAGTGACCTGTGACGTAATGTCGACTTGACCTGGACTGGGCTGGGATGTTTTCTTAATGGCCACTTGCTGTTTGATATAAAGTTCTCTCTTACCCACATATGTGTGTTTATGAATTGGTTTCTCTAGTCCACCAGGACTGACACATGATGGTCATGCCTCGTCCCATCACAGTGGGATTCCATTCTAAGGCCAGGGCAGGTGGGAAATCCACCCTCCAGGGTTGAAAATCACTCTGGGTTCTCCTACACTGACTCTGGAGAGTGGCACATATCTGTTTGGGTCATTCCATCCCTACACAGTCTTTGGGAGCCCGGGTGGGTTTGAAGATGCTAGACATCCCACCCAACCCCTCTCAGAGACTGGTCACTGCCTGGTGGTGGGCGCAGGGTGCGGGGAGGATTCTGGGCTGTTGCATGGTTCGGTTTGCATGCTGAAATCCCCATGGTCTGATCCATGTAAATGGATGGACCCGTCGTGAGGGTCCCGGAAGGATGGCCCGGGAGTTCACCTGCGTCAGAGTAGGCCCTGCTTGTGGGAGGGCAGGACCCTCACTAGGCCCAGTGACCAACATTGGGTACTCTGAACAGTGGCCTCCTGTCTTTCCCAGAAACTGGCATGGCCTCCAGTGTCCCCCAGGGCAGCTGTCTTTACCCTCCTGACCCTTAGCAGGGGGCGAGTGTCTGAGGGAAGGTGTCGGGCTCTACAGACAGGAGACTGGGAACTAACACCCAGCGAAATCGGATGAGGACTAGATTCCCCAATTTTTCACAGAGGGAATCTGGGAAGCTGGTATTCCACGGTAGGAAAGCCTCTATTTGGGTGAGTTAGAGATAAAGTCTAAATACATGCTCCTGCTTTAAATACTCCCACAGATTCTCCCCTGATAGCTGTGCTGCCTTAAAGAGAGCACATGGTTGATTCTATCTCCCTATAGAAGCAGACACCCTTTCTCCCCTCCCACCATGTCACCCAGCCCCCCTCATACTTCCCCCAATGCAGGTATTAGGTTTCCTCACCTGTGAGCTCAGGATCCTTAATGTAGACACCACCCACCTTGTGACACATGTAACTACGGACCATGCATGTCTTGTGGCTACCTATTTATGTCCCAAGATAATTAAGGTTTGCTCTCTCACTTCTCCCAGCTCCACATGGTCGGTCCATCAAGAGGGGCTGAGGGGAGCATGTACCATAAAACGTGTCTGGCTCCTTTGTTTTACTCTCTCCTAGCTTCTCCAACTTTACTCGGAATCTTCATTCTTGCCGTACAATTGCTCCTACTGGCCCTTTGGTTGTTGGAGGCCACTAGAAGGAGATTCCGGGCACCAACTCCAGCAACATGTCTGACTGCAGACCATGCCACACGATGGATGTCTCCTGTCTCCTCTTGGGCCTGCCTGCCCACCCAGACCCCCGTGGCGACGCGTGGGCCTTGCAGAATGTAGTCTTACCCATTCACGAAGGGGTAGCCCCAGGTACCATTGGTCTTCATGAGACACTTAGGACCCTTATTAATCGACAGTGCTGAGACGATAAATGAGTATCCTGCGCCCAGGACTCCGATGGCCGCAAATATGGTGGAGGTGAACATCTGCAAGAGAACAAGAGAGACAGCCGGTTCCAGAGGTGGACCCGAGCTCCCACGTGGCAAACCTAACACGCCTGACCGTGGGGCGGTGCGTCCTGGCAGGGACAGAGACGGACGGACAGCATGAACATGCCCTGCTTTGAACTCCCCCAGCAGGAAGCAGCACGTCTCAGGTAGGTCTTCTAGAGACTCAGATACCCTGCAGGGGCTGGGCTGCTGGCTCATGCCCAGTCCTTCCCTGATAGACACAATCCCTTTGGCCCATTTCCAACATAGGAACATTTCTTGTGATATCACATGCCCTACACCAGTGGTTCTCAACCTTCCTAATGCTGCGGCCTTTTCATACAGTTCCTCGTGGGGTGGTGACCCCCAACCATAACATGATTTTTGTGGCTACTGCATCACTGTCATTTTGCTGCTGTGAGGAATTAGGCGACCCCTGTGAACAGGTTGTTTGACCCTCAAAGGGGTCGAGACCCACAAGTTGAGAACCGCTGCCCTAGTTCAATGTCAGGATGGTATGATCATTTCACCATTTTTATTGTTACCCCATGTTTATTATTGCATCACGCACATGCACACACGCACACAGAGCATGACTTTGGGGAGAAAAGTAAAAAAGTTCATACCCCAACCCTGTGGCTGTTCAACACATGACCTCTTCACATTGCTAAAGAAACACTGCCCTTGGCACAGGCCCTGAAAACGGGAGAGAAACTGGCCTGCATCCGAGCTCTCGAATACGCCACCTCATCAGCCTTAAGACCTTCTTCTCTGCCAAGCGCTGGGACTGCCTGATCTGATCCAGCATTTCATCCATTCCTAGAGTGCCCCTGGTCAGAGAGATACTTTGGTGGGCTCAGCCCGATGGAGGAGGCCCTGGGGGTGGGGAAGAAAGGGAAAGTGGGTGTTTGGGGACACCATCGTTATGGACTTCGCGGTGATGTCACTATAGTGTTACCAGTGCAATAGAACTTGTGGTATCATCCTGCCCTCCCCACCCCACACCCCACCCTAGTCATATGACCCGCCCTGCTAGGCCTCTGCCCAGGGCTCGGAGAAACTCCTGGGTTCTCCAGTAGGTCTAGGTGAAAACCCTCCTCTCTAGCCAATGGCCCTATGGGGAGTGCCGGTGGGGTGCAGAGGGGAGTGGGTGGGTGGGGTCCTGCCTTGCTCACCACCTGCTGCCTCCACCTCCACAGCCCCTGGGCTCGTTCTGCAGCGTTTCCGGGGATTGCCTGAACCCGGTTTTGCGTCCTTGGGTGGAGGGTGTGGCAGGCAGGGACCCCCGTTTCCTCCTTCTACGCAGAGTGGCTTGGCGCTCAGCTGGAAAGGCTCTCACGAGGCTGAGATGAAGGAGGGAAACACCTGCAACCGGACCTTGCTCACCCAGGCCACGCTTACTGTCCCCTGGCACCCAGACCCTGAGGCTGGCGGTTTCCCCACCGAGTCTGTGCATGGACCCTCGGAAACATCTTCCCCCATCCTTTCCTTGCTCTGTCGAAAGACGGCGTCTACCGCGAAGCGCAGAAACGATCGAGGCCCAGGAAACAGTTAGCAAGGAAATGGGGTTCCCTTTTTTCAGTTTCTTCCTTTAAGGCGGTTTAACCTTCTAAAAGGAATGTCTTTTAATCTCCTCCTCAAACTCTGTGCTGCTCAAGGAATGCAGTCCGTCCTTGGATGCTCTTAGTCTCCGGGGGTGGAGTGCTCCCCCAGAAGGCATCTCTAGGGGGCGCTGGTGACCTGGGCAGGGAAGGGAGAGCTGCCCTTGACACTCAGACAGCTCTTTGACTTGACCCATATCTTGCTTCCAAATGGGCTGCCCCACCATCTGGCCGTCCCTGTGGGTGGGGTGGGTCCTTATCTACCTGATATGCTTTCAGGATGCTGAATGCCTGGCCGCACCCACAAATCTCCTTTATCAATCCACCTTCGGTCCCGTGATTAAAGCCACTCCTAGAGAAAAACCCGAAGCTCTTATCCAACGATGTACTCAGCGTGTGTTAGCGATGCATTGAAGTAGAGGTCCTGTTGGGTGGCCAAGAATCCCTTGATAGGAAACCCGGGTCAAGGTTTTCAAAGCCCAGCTTGAAAGTCACAGTTCTCACAGTCTCTGCTCTCCGTCAGTCTCATCTATTTAAAAGAACACAGAGTCCTGGACTTCAGGCCTTGCTCGGTCTCAGCAGACAGCCTGCTTCCTCTTCCTCAGCCTCCCGGAGGGACTGGGAGTGAGGGGATCTCAGGACAGTTTCCCACTCTAACTCCAAGGGCACCACCAGGGAATGCACCTATTCAGGTGTTCAAGGAGCCCTCGCGGTGATGGGTTACACACTTGGCTTTTGGAAACCATCAGCCTGGGCGCCGGAGAGAGATGAGGTTCTCTACTCCTGTCAAGAGTTAGAGTCTCAGAAACCTACAGGGGCAGTTCTACCCAGTCCTACAGGGTCGTTCTGGGTCAGAACTGATGTGCTGCCGTGAGTGAGTGAGTGAGTGAGTGAGTGAGTGAGTGAGTGAGTGAGTGAGAGTAGATCAAGTGTCCTATCTGGGAAATGTCCCGATTTTATACCCCAAGGAAAGGGAAGAGAATGGTGAGCATATTGCTGGAGAACATTCCAGGAGAGGGGAGAAAGCTCGGGAACGACGTGAGAGAGGGAAAGGCCGTGCAGAAGGTGGCAGCATTGAGCCCGTGGCCCCCTGGGTGAGTACTACCGGGTCCCACCCCGACAGAAGTTTCAGAGGCTCAAACCATTGACTTCCTTGCCAGCTACTTCTGAAGGCCCTGAGTAACAGCCAGCTTGCGGGGGAGGAGGGGGGCCTTTCTTTCGAAAGGAGAAACCCAAACCAAGCCTATTGTCATTATGTTGACCCTGACTCACAGCGACCCTACAGAATGGCCCCTATTGGATTTCCAGGGCTGTCAATCTTTATGGAAGGAAACGGCGACATCTTTCTCCCACAGAGCGGCAGGTGGGTTTGAACTGCTGACCTTCTGGCTAGCAGCCACGCACTTATCCGGAGAGAATATGCTCTTACAGGACAACACTGAAAGACGCAACACTGCTTCCTAAGCTCCCCTGCAGAGCCCGGTGTTTTCAACAGAAAGCCACCTTCGTAAGACTGACCAGGCAGAAAAAGAACTCAAACACTCAGCAGGACCGTCCTATGCGATTCTCTCATCTGAGCAAACCCGCCTGTCAAGACCCTGCTTCCTCAGGGTCACTGGTGAGTGCGCCTCAGAACACCAGGGAAGCCACTGGAAAGCAGAGGCCGATCTCCACGCCCTCAGCCATGACCCCGGGCAGCTGGTGGTTGCTCTGCTAGCCTGCAGGCCCGGAAATGCCAGTCAAACATTTTTTTTATAGTAAATAATTCTTGTGAAATCTTCCCATGTCTACAAACTGATTTCTGATTTTTCAAAATTGTTTTCCTGCCAGCCAGCTGATGGAGCCGTGTTCTTCTGGCCGGTCAGAGGGTCATGGGGCGGCCGTATCATCAACTCACAGCACAGGCAGAGCCTAACGGTTCAGGGAGCTGGAACGGAGGGGAGCTCGCTCGCAGGAGACTCAGAGACCAGATTGGGAAGATCAGAAGAGACCAGAGCCTACAGACTCCACTGTGCGTGTAAAAACCTGACATTACAAAAACAACAACAAAAACACCTGACATTTTTTGCATCCTCTCGGACTTCCATCTAGTTTTAAAACTGATTGTGGTAGCAATGGGATGATTTTGCTTGACCGGACTGCAGTATGGGATGATAGGATATGTGTATTAAATCCCAATTCATCGAAATATGATAATGAATAAAATAAGTCTCAAAATTAAAAAACAAAACAAAAAATCATCCCCATTAAAAAAAAAGTTAAGTGTTGGTGATCCTTTGAATGCTATTTTGGTGTCTATGGCGCTGATGTAGAAACCCAACAACAAAGGAACAAACTGCCCATCTTCCGTCTTCTTCCCAGAGTCAGGGAAGGAGATGCTACATTTCTAAGCCCTGCCCTTGCCTCCCTTTTATTCCAGTTTCTGAATCACTGATAATTAAACTCTCAGCTGCAGTGTATCCACCCCCCACCCACTGCGTCACCCTCCCCTCACCCCCAAGTGTTCATCAGGAATAATGGGATTACAGTTAGATGGAAAACGAGTTACATCCATATCTCACGTATCAATATGATTAGGCTCCCAAGACCGGGCTGTTATGGGAAACTCAGCATTATGTAAAAATAGAACATGATCACATCAGAGCACAAATACAGGGTGACTGCATCGTAGAGCACTGCCAATTCTTGCCCGGGCAAGCCAACGCCTAACCATTGCCATGGCCAGCATCATGCTCTGCTCCCCCTTGGCATTTGTTACAGCCAGATGTTATCTCGTCAGTGTGCAAAATAGTCGGATAGTCAGATTTTCACTGTAGTCGTAAATGCAAAATATCAGATGGCAAGATAGTGGATAAGTGAGGAGTCCTATAAAACTGTCTTCCTCTCCTTCAGAGTTGGGTGCATTAAATACCATGGCTTCTACATCATGTGTAATAATAGGGTGATAGCAAAGGCATTGTGGTTGGAGTTTCATCTCATAGCTTATGTTTTAAAGGTGACTGTAATCAATTATCAAGGATTACTTGGGACTTGTGGGTGATAAGGGGGAGAAATCTTTCTTTTTCAAAGGAACTTAAAATTTACAGTCAATTGGATTCTGGACTCAGTACGTCAGTCTTGGTCCTTTTTAGGTGCCCAGGAAATACATTTTTCAAGGCATGAACAATGAAAGAATGATGGGAAATTAATGCCGGCATGGATTCTGATATCACTTTTCCTTCTGGAAGTGAAAGTGATCAGAGGCAACTCAGGGCGGGGGTAGAGGGACAAGTAGAGCGGAGGTCAGCTGTGCTCACCGGCCAAGCCAGCCCGCTGTCTCCATGTGTGTCGCGTGAATGTACCTGAGCCCTTACTTGTGATTTTCCTTTAGGCCAGCTGGATGGAAACACCTCGATCCCTACCTTGGAGGACAAGCTAGACCCACCGGCCAACACAATCATGATATCATTGGGTTTTACTGAAGTCCACGTGGACATTTGTTCAAAGGGGAGATTCTGGAAGGTTCTCAAGAGCAGTTCTAGCACTTGCCCAGGGGTAGAAATGGGACGGGACCCCACCTCTCCTGTGTGCAAAGGCGGTGTTCTCCCCCCTCCACCTCAGGCGGTGCGTGACTGCCCAAGCTCGCCTGCTGGGAGAGGAACAGCCCCCAGACATCAGGAGATCAGCAGAGGTCACGGCAAGCTGCAGCCACCAGAATGGCTGTGCGGGGGAGGTTCAGACCCAGGGGGAGAATGGCCCTGGTGGCCCTGAGCAATTTGTAGAGAATTGATTGAAGGAGAGCCTAACCTGTTGCATTGCCTGTGTCCACATACAATCTCACACTCACACACGCACGAGTGTGCGCACACACGTCTTTCGGCAGAATGCGTGCAGCTATGGGGGAAGGGACGCGATGACCTTTCCTTCTGTCCCAACCTCTCCTTTTCCACCCAAGGAAACACAGGGCGATGTGTGAGCCCCGAGACCGCACAGACGCTCCACAGCAGGGGGAGGCTCCGGTCCCTTCCGTTCCCTCCCCAGCCAGCATTCTTTACAGAGCATCACTTCCACCTTCCAGCTGTGGGCCCTGAACTCGCTGTTGCAGAACTGAACCAACAGCAGTGGGCCCTCGAAGCAGGAGGGGTGTGGGATCTGAACAGGATGAGCAGGGCTCCTATTTTGTTTCTGAACCGTGTGCTCCCCCAGGTCCTGCCTGGAGCCGCCCAGCCAAAGGCGACAGTGTAGACCCAGGATCCGTCTGGCTTCTCCCCCGCCCCCTCGGGAACTCACCGCAAACCGCTTCCCGCAGCTCTCGTTGCCACAACATCCACAGCAGTCGTTGTTCTTCAGGCCCAGGAACACCAGCGCGGGGAAGATCATCTGAGGACAGGAGAGGCAGCTCAGCCTGGGGTGGGTGTGAAGAGCCCGCCCTGCCTGCCTACCTGCCTGCCTGCCTGCCTGCCTGCCTGCCGCGGGTGTGAGGAGCCACAGCCACGGTGTGGACTTTGTGGCCAAAGCTAAGAGCAAATGGCTGGCGGCAGGCCCTGAGTTACTGAGCGTTGAGGTTGCCTTTGGGCTGAGTACATTCCAGCTTCCATGAGGCCGACCTTCAAGGTCTAACTCTCTGAGTGCGCTTTTAGACGGCAGGTTAGGACAGGACAAGACGCTTGTCTTTAATTTGCTCAATTGCCTTGAAGAAAAAGGTGGGGGGAGTCTCACTCCTTCTCTTTCTCTCTTTCTCAGCTGAAGGGTCCCGACTTCTATGGGATCCGAGGGATAAAGGACTGGTCCTGGGTGCCCGGATGGCAGAGAATTCCACCGGCACCTACTGTCCTCTGTGATTTAAGGTCCACGAAGTTGCTCACAGGGTAGTTTGGGTGCGTGGTGTTTCGTGGCACAGCCTTTTTAAAATCAAGAATGGACTTGGCGGTCATCTGGGCTCACGGGGCTCAAGGGACTCAGGGAAACAGCGGGGCGAGCTTGGGCATTTGTTTCGAAGCCCGGCCTGTGGTGCGCCCGAGGCCGATAGGAATAGGGCAGGGTCACGCTGCGGCAGGACTGCTCATGGTGCAACTCTAAAGGCTGTTGTTAGCAAGGAAAGATGGCCCTGTTCAACAAGTACCCAATTCTAAAGCAGGGGGTGGGGGTGCAGGGTGGGGATAGTTGCCATTCTGAAGTTGTTAGGGTTCCCGACCTGACTGGAGGGTAGTCCCCCAGCTCCGTGAGTCGGAATCCAGTGGACAGGGGCGGGTTCCTTTGTTTACTTACCAAGACACCGCTCCCAATTATTCCTCCAAGATACAAGACCTCGTCCGTGAGCTGCTCTTTGTCGCCGACCGTTTTTCCTCCTGGGAAGAAGAGCAGAATGTTCGCCAGCAAGCCGATCACAGCGAGGGGGATGAGGGTGACCCCCAGGCACTTGGCGCAGCTCCCAGTACACATGCTGGGGGAGCAGCGAGGTCCAAGGAAAAGGCCCTTCCCTCTGCCTCCTCCACGGGATCTTCACAGTTTGTGGTCCTGGGGGGCCTAGGAATCGCCTTCAATTCAAACTCTTCTTGAGAGGTGGGGTGGGGGCTGAGAACCAAACCAGCCCTCAGAGCTGTATCTGTGGAGTCTCTTCAGCTTCTCACAGAGAGCCTCTCAGGCCGGAGCTGGACTTTTATAGGCACTCCTGACCCTGACTTCCTATTCTGTGTCCCTCCATAAATGAGATTACGTGGTAAGTAATCGTTTTGCCATGGAGACCAATAACCTCTGTTAATAATCCACCAGGCCAGACAAGACACTTGCATTGTTGCAATCGAGAGAGGACAGGAACAAACAGCGGTGAGAACCACTCACTTGCCGTCCGACAACCGGGCTGCCCAATAAAGAGCCCGTGCCCCTTAGCTCTTTGCAAAAAACACCTGGATACCTGAGTTCCGTTCGGGCTAACATCACATCTCCCCATACCTTCTGCAGTCTACAGGTGTGTCTTTGTCTCTTCCATGGGAAACCAACCTGTCAGGCAAGGATTCTTCAGAAGGTCTTCTGTTTTTCTCAACACAGAGATAATAATGTGGTGGTCTGTTTGCCCTGCTCGGCCCTTTCTGCTGTGGGGCTTCAGACTGCCGAGCGGTACCCGCTGGTCTAGGACCAGGGACCTCTGTTCACTCAGACGTATAGGACTCTTTTACAGATAACATCAGATTTGTTGTTGTTGCTGTGGTTGATTGCTGTATTTCTCTACCTGTATTTCGTGGTGGTCCAGGGGTGGAATTCTTTCCTTCCACCCGGGTGAGCTCGGTTCATTGCTGGCCAGTGTGCTTCCAGCATGGCCAGAGGAGGCTGGTCTGCTACTACAATGCTGACCAGGCTACGGTGAAACTGACAGGCTAAGACGGGCTACTAAGAAACATCTGGTGATCTATTTCAAAAAACCCGATCAAGGGAAACCTTCTGGGTCACAGACGGGCCGCGTGCTGCCATGGAAGGGCCCTGAACTCGCACCAACTTGGTTGGATGCTTTACAACAGTCTCCTAAAGACTTTGAAAACCATATTCCATAAAAAGGCCGGGCCAGGAAACACAAAAGACCCAAACTCCTCGTGGGACTGGAAATCAGGAAGAACATTAGGTGCCAGTGGCGCCTGCTTCCGTCCGGGCGCCGACGACAAGTTCCTTACGCCCTCGGATCTGACAGAGGCTGAGATCCTCCCACTGAGGAAGAGAGAAAGAGAAGAAAAGGAGAGGCACTCAACTGTATAGTTGGTTTCTAAAGATAATTTCAGAGAGCTCAGTGCTGAGAGGAGAAAAGTGGTCCATGCTCAGAAGCAGTCAAGGTTTTGAACAGATCTCATGTGCCCACGCGAAGAAGCGCTTTAAGCATTCTTCACCCTCTGCGAGGAAGGTCTCATGTACCTGCTTCAGAAGGAGACGCTGCGGTTGAGGGAGGGTGGGCCATTTTTTCCTCAGTTATTGTGGTCCTTACATAATCTGTTGTCAATTTGAGGCTTAAGAGTGAAAAGGTGGAGTCTAGCCTGTCAATCAGATCGCAGCTCAATGACCTCATTTGGAGGCACTAAGGAGATAAATAGCTTGTTAGAGGTGGGACACATGCTCCCAGAGAGACCTTCTACTGCAAGCCACATGGAGCTGTGCTGACAGCAGTGAGAGCCCTAGAACTGGAGGAGCCACGTGGAGACCCACGCCAGAGCTGAGATGCTTCCACCGTCTCTGGATCCACAGGGCTATCCACCCACTGGCCTGTGATCTTCCTGAGTTCAGTGTCGTTGCATGTGTTTCATGAGTCTGAAGGGGACTTTATAGATTGGTATCAAACATGTGGACTAATATCAGACTTATGGCCTTGGTATAGACTGGGCTGGGATGTTTTCTTAATGTACAATTACTCTTTATATAAAATTCTTTCTTATACACATCTGAGTGTCTATGAATTTGTTTCTCTAGTCAACCCAGACTAACACAGTTATCCCAACAGAATTAGGGAAAGAACCAAGATTTTTATATTGAGACTCTGCCTCCACAACCTATACTCTCCATCCATCCTATTGTTAGCTTAATGGCATTTTCTTTGTAGAAGTGAAAAAACAAAACAACGCCCCCCACATTCCCTTTTCTCTTCCAACATCACCTTTTCCAAACAAGGGAGCCTGCAGTGACTCACCGATGGCAGTGAGCTTAAAACCTTTTGGTTTTAACACAAGGAATACATGGGCTGCGTGTGATCAATTCTTCTGGAAAAAAAGTTGATTCTTTTTCTTACCACAAAATAGTATGTTTGCTTTCTTTCTTACCTTTTTGGGGGTGACGAGGAAATCAAAAGCACAGAGAAGGAAAAGGGAAAAGCGGAAAACGATGGGGTTCCCTCCCCAAGTGGACAAAGATCATCAGCATGCTACTCAGTGGTTTCTTGACATTCCACACAGTCGCAAATGGGTGTTAACAACCCACCTGCCTCCACCTGGGAGTCTCAGAATAAACACGACCAAGGAAGATAAAGGTCTAAGCTAGGGATGTAAGAGTTGAGTCAATCAATCATAAATTGCTAATCTGGGTGGCTTTTTTCTTTCTCCATAGACAGTGCCTTTTGTCTTGAAAAGTTATTATCATGCCCCTTTGATCCACATGTATAATAGAGCTCTGCTGTCTCAGAGTTTCAGACGAGCAACTGAAGCTGCTTATCTAGTCTGTA